TGCCAGGATCTTGGGTTGATTCGGATGAATCTACATCGAAGAGCTGGACTGAATACATACGACTTGACTGAGTTTCTGTCAACATTCGCTGGGTAGTTCTGTCATGTTAGAAAAGCCAAACTTTTATGTTAGTGTTTCTTAAGAAACAATCGATACATGATTTTCTGAAAAATGTAATGACATATTTACTGAATAAAAAATTAATAAAACAGAATATATTGCAGTTAATTCCAGGACTAAAAAACCTGTGCAGTGGCGTAGCTTAAAGGGGTAGACAAAAAGCATGTGAACTACTAGCGAGCTAGTAGCTCACATTTAGATGTACGGTGTCATATGATTGGTCACAAAGAATCTGGGTCTGAAGGTCTTAAATGGGAAAAGATTTCGGCCAAGCTAAAGGCATGTTAGCAAAAGCCAAAACACCCTGACTTTTGGAATTCAGTTACCCGGGTTCAGTTAATGGAAGATTGCATGCCTCATGAACCTGTGACCCCGTAACTGATAAAAATGAAGTTTTTTATTATCAAAATTGTTACTTCTTTTGTTTTGACCTCATTAAGAAAGAGACGTCTTTAGTTCTGGCAAATAATCACGTAATTTATCAATCTGTGACTATGCACTTCCGTTTTCCCCCTTACCCKTATTCCTCCAGTGGTCCATCTCATGGGTGTAAAACGAACTCCATCTAGGCCATAGTACAGATAGAAAGACTTGACCCACTGATCGGCATCGTGTCTTCCTTGGGTTTGCATCATGACAATCTTACTTGGTCCACCGAAGTCAACCTGCAGCCATTGCTCGTAGTTGTTATGCAGAGCGGACCATGCGCCTGACTTACCTCGCCTGCTCTTCTGGTTCAATCTGCCCAGGAATGGGGCGTGCTTGGAGTTGAAGGTAGAAGAGGCGGTCATTTGGTTGCTGCGTATGCGGCGTAACATTGGCTTATTGCAAAGAGGAACTGCAATGAAAAACGAAATCATTCATCAAATATTTTTTGTGTGACATTTACCAATTTTAGAACACGTGCCATGAGTCTTTTCATATGCACAATGCTTAAACAAAGAAATTATACTCTAAGGAATGGCACATGGTTTGAAATGGGAAAACATTCAACATAACCTAAGAAGGTCTATAGTGCTTACTCAAATATTATGCACCCAAAAATAGATTTGTGTATTTTAAGCTTTCCTGGCATTTTTTCTTCAACTTGAACTGATGATAACATATCAACTTACCTAATCTACAACCGTAGAGTTCGACTCTCAGAGCAATGAAACCATACCAAGTGCGAGGATGTATACGAACATAACGAGCCTTGGGTGGCCTGTATAGCGTGTTAGTAACTACCATATATCTATCCATGTTTCCTTTGAAGACCTAACAGAGCCAAGTAAGAAAAACCACCATTAAATAAAAATAGTGGTGGAACAGCGTAAAGATTTTGTTTTAAACTTACTCTGACTGCACGACCCTCTCGGTAAGGATAGAATTTGTGTGCATTCAAACTAAATGTGATGGTGTAGGACTTGACATATTGATTTGCATCATAGCGACCCTGAGTGGCGATTCTCTTCACTCGGGCTACCGAACCAATATCGATTTGCATCCACTGTTTTCGGTTGCTTGTTTTTGGTAACCATCCTCCGTATGTTCTACCGCGGTTCCTGTAAAGCAATGGTGTTCTACTTTAATAGGCGTGTTTCATATGTAATGCATACACGAGAGAGCTTCATAGTCACATTTATTATATTGGAAACTAAACAAGCAAAATCGTATTAATTGCAGCAAACGCCTCATCAATGGTTTGAACGTACAGCTTTGACATTTATCGAAATATAGAATATTTTAGTGGAAAAGTGATTGTAAAGAAGAAATTATTGATATTAATTCATTCATAAGAGAAAATTCGTTAGTGACTCAATGAACGTCAGAGAGTCTGTGAAATGGCATGATGTTTAAGTTCATGTAGCACATAATTTAATTAGTTGGTCAGGGATAGTCAGATTGGAGTTGGAATCCGAGTTGGAAGCAGAGTTGGGCAGAGATAGTTGAAGTTGAAGTTACAGTCGCAGAAATAAAAGAGAAGAAGAAAGCCGCAAAGAGTAACAAAAATCTATGTGTCCGAAAGGGAAGTAACACTCCCCCACTTGCCCTCGTGACATGTTATAAAAGCATCGAGAAGACATGGACCACTGCACACGAGAATGAGGTGGTTGCCAAAAATCACCAATATCAATGATCCCAAATAAACTGAAATATAAACTAGATCACTTGCAATATCCTAAAATCGTGACCACAAAACCATCATTACAAGTTACAAACAAAAATGAGTAACAGATACCAAACTAATATCAAATACATAAATAAAACAGTAGCAGCAACAGCGATAACATCATCATCATCATCATCGGTAGCAACAACATTAACGATGATATCAAAATGGCAATGAAAGCAGCAGGATAAAGAAACAAGGATCGGACAACAAGCAAAATCAAAAATCTGAGTCATTTAATGAAAGTGATACATACACTTGGAAGAGTCTTGCGCTCCATGGTCCTCGGTATGTATGGATGATTGACGATGCTGTAAACATCTCGTGACGAATGCGTCTGTCCTGGACACCCAGAGGAGCATCACAAGCATCTGCCAACCAATGACAAATGAACTTAAATTACTTTACTTTATACTGCAGGAATGTTATCCTGCGCTTGTGCATGTCATAATACTTATGGTTGCTGCAAACCCTAATGATAACTGAAAGTTGCATCATTCACATAGCTGCAAAGGGCACMTTTTTGTCCTTTTTAGTTGCCATCAAAGGTTGGAATAAATCTATTAACAAGTTAAAAGGTGCAGCAAGAGCCCCAAGCAAGAGCCCAAAACACGCGCGTTTTTGTCGCCAATTCCACAAGAACTCTATTACTCATCATTAGAAATGGCGAAACCCATTTAGGTGCTTTTCTGATTTCGAGGCATGAAATAATAAGAAAATGTTTAATACTTTTAAATTTTCTTGCTAGAAAAAATTAATRTGCATATGATGGYAATACCATGGTGWAACATCTCCCCATCCCATCGTAACRRATATCAGGTACATAGTGTTTTCGTTAGGAAACATTGTAATATYGTTTCTTACCAGTCTTGCATCCATAAAGCTCAACACGCATACAGCTGTAGCCATTCCATGACCTTGGGTTAATTTGTACATATCGSCCAATGATTGGTGGACTCAGATGGTTTGTCTTGACTGCCAAGTTGTTAGTATTGGCATAAAAGATCTAAAACAAAAATTCCTTTMAGACTACTATCTATAGTTTAAAAAAGACGACAGATAACAGAAACTTAAAGAGGAACGCACTAAAAAAGTTATGAATGGTGAAAAAGGTATTTATTTGTTCGAATGTCGACAATGTGTCCTTGCATTTTAACCATAATTTTTCGAACATGCGCTGTTCCTTTTTCACTAGCGTCAACCAGGGATCGATAAGCATAGAGCATGTTTTCTGAGCATGCGCAGTACATTCCCACAAGTGACGAAAGCCACTCAATTTTTATCCATCTACCTTAGGAGAGTTTCTGTGGCTGTAAATTGCCCAGTGATATCCATCTTGACTGTACTTCACATAGTACTGCCTTACAAACCAACCAACATCTTGACGTCCTTGTGTTGCTATCATAGTAACTTTCCTCACTCGGCCCAGGTCTATTTGTAGATATTGCCTGTTGTTGTTATTGCGGTTGCTTACGCACCAAGACCCTAGTTTAGCTCCATGACGCGCGATCATCAGTCGAGCACGACTGGCACCGAGCGCAGCGTTCCATTCACTTGATGCGGTTACTCTGCTGTTTCCGATTTGTCCATTCTGCATTCCATATGCCTTGYTGCATTTGACTGCAATGAAATGGTATTTGGTTTAGACTACTTCGATAGCTAACAAATGATTTTTTGTGTGCATTTACTTGGGAGGGGGGGGGGGGGGGGAAAAAAACTAGGATACATAAGATCAATACTGGGTTTGCTAATCCCAATCTCTGATCCTAACAGTCTTTTAGCTGACCCTTGCATAAATGGTATATACTTTGGGTATATGAAATGTTAAAATATACTAAATTAAAGTGAATATTTTATTGGAGAAAAAAAGACATGAAAACAGAAATAAAAATAAACAAATGCTTCTCAAAATCACTTCTCAAAAATGAGAGAATAATTAGAAACARCTCGGGATGGCTAATGAATGGTTTAGTCATCACTTCTTACTTGTGCAGCCATAGAACTCAACACGGATGTCAGGCCAACCATTCCAAGTGTAAGGGAAAACACGGATCATGGCTGCTCGAATTGGCTTGAAGAAATGCTGTACGACCTTATATCTGTCATTGTTTCCAGAGAAGATCTGTATTGTTAATAAAACAGAATGACAATCGTTAGGACGAATTCCAAGGAATTCTCTATTTTTAAAGTAGGAAGTGTTTTCATWGTGAATGATCCTTTCATTAAAGTACTAAAATGGATGGCAAAATATCCCATCASTTATGCATTTGCGCCCGTGAGCCCCTTCTTACCAATAAGGGAACTCACATATAAAAACTGGTATTCCAACTCAAATTAAAGGAGGTCATGCATATGAAATGGGAAAAATGCAATCTCAACCAGCAGCAAGTGAAACAAACTAATTTATTATTACTACTATTATCATTTTTGTTATTACCACAATGATTGTAATTCTTTTCCAACTGTAATGGCACTACATACTGTCAAAAATTATCTAATATCATAAATCAATATTCTAGTAACCTTGATGCCCTTATTCTTATTCCTAAACCATCTCCATCCAACACCATCGTTGCTGTAACTCAGTCTATAGCTCTTCACCCAATAGTTATAATTTCGGGAACCCTGCGTAGCGATTCCTTTTATGGTAGTGATATCACCCAGGTCCACCTGTAGCCATTGGTTACGATTTCTGTGACGTGGACGCCAGCCATAAGCGAAGTTCAGTCTGCCGTATCTTGGTGAGAGGTGATTGTTGTAATATGAAGACGCAGAGAACTGACCTTCCGTGATTCGGCCATCCTCMAGTCCGATTGGCATGGCACAGCGATCTTGAAAAATATTGGTATATGAGATAAATTATTAGCTTATTTTCTCCTCATTTTTAATATTGATTATTTATCCGTGCGTCCGTCYTTCCGTGCATCCTTCCGTGTATTAATAATTACCTTCTCTACATCCATAGAATTCTGCTCTCATAGAAATATGTCGATGCCATTGGTAGGGTAGGATACGTATCACCCTGCATCGAATGTGAGGGAAGAATCGATGGCTTACTACATCGTTTCGGTTGCGATTGGCTTTGAAATACTGCAAAAAAAWTTAAATAAACTATAAAGTTCAGATTGACTGCGTTATCATTTTGTCAAAGTAGTACGGACGCAAGAGKCGTAGCTGAAATAAATTTATAAGTTATTGTAAAAGATGGAATATATAAGTTACAGCAATTTTCAATGAAAACGCGAACTCAGTAGTTGGAAGTTCCTTGWTGAAACTTTGGTTTTCCACTTTTAACAATCAAAAATATGAAAGCTACTGACTAAATATATTTTTTTAATTATCTAAATGAATAGCGATGTGTACCTTGTAGTTATATCCCTCTTTGTAGATAGCAAAGTTAGCACCATCTGTACTGAAGCTGAGCCGGTAAGTGGTCACCCACTGATCAGCATCATGTCTTCCCTGAGTTGATATCTTATTGAGACGAGTAGCAGCCTGGAAGTCAATCTGGAACCATTCGTTGCGCGTGTTATACTTGGCACACCAAGCACCCACTCTGGCTCCTCGTTTCTTGAAGTATAAGCGGCCATTTTGTGGTCCATGGTTTCTGTCCCAGCTTGATGATGCACTCAGCTGATAGTCGCGGAGTTTTCCGTTTCGTAAACCTAGTKGAGCCTTGCAGCCCTTACCTGAAAGAATATAAATACATTTTAAATAACTAAACACTGGTGTTGAACCACTCGGAGATAGGAAAATGCACGACATGCACAATAAACGCCAGCTCACAACGTGATATTTGAAGGAAGAAAAAGAAGAAGCCCCCCTTCCCCCCAGAAAGCATAGCAGAGTGAGACAAAAGTGTATTGCCAGTCATAGCAGATGAAGTGTTCAAATAATTCCAATTGAAAAGTCAGAGCCAGACTGACGGTACAGACCTTCCGGTCTCATCAACTTAGTAAATTCAACATACAACCTCWAAGAGCGTTAATAGTTTGCTTGTTTACCTGTGACGCAGCCGTAGAATTCTACTCTCAGAGATATCCAGCTTCGCCATGTTACTGGGTAGATACGGAAATACCGACCGTTTAGAGGTCGAAGGAATTTATTGATTACTACTGTGAATCGATTGTAGTTTCCTTGGAATATCTAGAAAAGGAAGAATATAACCTTGATWTAATTAAAGATGCATAGCTTGCCGGAAAGAAAAAACCCTCTTCTCTAATTTCTCTGTAAATTTATCTCGACCGTTTACATGAGATATTTTACTTTGCCTCGCCTTTAAGGGTCAGCCTACTGGTAGGGTTACCCTAAAAAAAAAAGAGGGTGACCCTGGTACCCGGTCTGGACAAGTTTTTTTCAATGTAAACACTTTTGACTTGCCTAGTCGAGACAACGTTTTCGTTTGAGCATACGTATCTCCATTAAAACCGATTATTCGTTTCGTATTTCTGTAATTGGAAAATCTAAAGTCTGCTAAACTTTATAGAAAAACCGCGTAGCTTAAATTTGTTCAGTTTTACGCAAATAATTTAAGGCCTTTTTAGCTTGGACGTAATCTTTTCTCATTGCAGACCACGCGTCATTCTCTGTAGACTAGCGTATCTTTGTTTAACGGTTGCTCATGTAAAAATACATAGATATTGATASGGTTCAAACAGAATCTTCAGCATTCTCACATTTGGTCTATTGCTTTCTGGGTCGAGGTAATGAAAGAAAAGCACTGCAAATTGCCTCACCTTTCTCCTGCGGTTCTCCATATAAGTAGTAAATRATGAGCGATCTTTACTGTACGTCACATAGTAACTCTTAACCCAGTAGTGAGTATTACTACGGCCCTGAGTAGCGACCCTCGTGACTTTGGCCATGGCACTGAAGTCTACCTCAAGCCACTGGCCACGTCGGTTATGACGGGGTGTCCATCCATATGGAAGGTGAAGACGGGCTCGGGTTGGTGCATAAGTGGAGCTTTGGTATGAGGAGGCTGTCATGGATTGATCGGCTACACGTTTGTCTTGTACACCTAATGGTGCATCGCAGCGATCTATACAACACAAAAAGCTTTAATTAAAGAGAGTGAGGTAATAACCTTTGGCATTATGTAACTTCCGACACTCAATGCAAAACTCCAAAGAAATGTAAGCTCTGCCGCATTCTAAATAAATAAATGAAAACTGCCTCATTTAATCGCAAAGTTTTCTAAGCTGTACAGCAGAGATTTGTATGAAACGGAAGATGTTGAAGACAAGCATTGTTCTACTGAAAGGTAAACTTACTCCAAGGACACCCATAAATCTCAAGTCTCAAAGCGGCTCGAGAATGCCAGGAACGAGGGTAGACTCTGAAGAATCGACAGATGATTGACGGCTTGAAGAATAATGATCTCACTCCCTTGTGGTCGTAGTTATTGTAGAAAAGCTAAGGGAAACAGAAAAAAAATGAAAAAATGAATTTAAAAATGAAATTGAAGAATAAAGCTATAGTAAGGGGCAGGAACAATTGACTGTTTTTCAGAAGAAAAAAAAATAAAAATAAATTTCATTTTTTTGCTTTCTAATCAAAATGTTTTGTTCTAAAACGGGGCTTCCTCCCAGAAAATACTAGCTAAATTGCAGCTGAAGWATAAGACAAGAAGAGTGAGCGGTAAGCCCCTTTAAATTTTTAACAATGCCCCAGCAAAACAATATTCACTCTTTAAGACAAAAAGAGATCAAGGAAAATGATAATTTATTGTAAAGAAAACTCCTTTTTTGCGCTTCTTTTTTTTTTTTTTTTGAAGATTACAAATACGTTTGTGTTAAATTTGTCCCCTTCTGGAGTATTTTGTGACATAAGAGTTCGTAACCACCATGTTGGAATTGTCCAACAAATTCTCAAACATAAAGACTAAAATAGAATCAAAATAATAACATACCTTATATGTATCAATCCATTGTCTTTGTTCGGCAAAATGCTCCCGATCTTGACTATATTTTATATAGAACGACCTAACAAAGTAATTTGCATTCTCCTGGCCTTGTGTATAGATACCATCAACCTTCATAGTACGACGGAAGTCAACCTGAAGCCAGGATTTGGACGGCTGACGTGGTATCCACGCTGGCTGAAGACCATGTTTGAAGGTCCTGAGTAGACGAGCGAGGTATGGGGCGTATTTTTTATTCAGCATGCTTGATGCTGTCATTTGACTGTTCTTTATTCGACCGGACTGCATTCCCAGTTTATTGTCACAGTACCTCTCTGGAGAAATAGCATTACAAATATTTAATGCGAATTTTTTAAATCTTACACACAGCAGCGGTGTACTTAAAATTAATTGCATCCCAAAATTATCCAATGATATGATGGTAACAAGAAAACTTCCAATTTGAAAAGTGGTCTCATGCACCCTAGCTGTTGTTGGATACGACCCTGCACCCCAAAAGACACAATACAATATATTTTTCTGGATATATATATATATATATATATATATATTTGGCAAACACGATTTATAAAAAACTATTGTCAATGTTGGGGACAAACAAACACAATGCATAATTCATTTTATTTAATCATTTATGCTCATTTGAATTCTTGTTATTGAATTCTTGTTAGTGATATCTAATTTGTGGTTTATATCACAGTAACCCTTGGCGTCAGAGGAGCCCCAGTACTCAGGAACATGAGGCCGGACACCCGCCGTCATGAAAGAAACCACGAACGAAATGTACTGGAGCGAGAAAGCCAAAGGATCTACGGAATGGTGTATCAGTGTAACAAATAGGATTGCAAACATACCGYGTCGTCTGACTCCGTACAGTTCGACTCTCATGCCAATGTATCCATGCCAGGATMTTGGGTGAATACGAATGAATCGGCAGTGGATGTTGGGTTCGATTCTTCTTAACACAGTATTGTAACGATCATAGTTGCCAAGGAAAACCTATGTAGTACGTACCACTTTTAATAATCATGTTTCATATATTAACATGCACTTGTTTTTCGAAAGTTTAGTTTACCACGCTGAAGAACTTCTGCAAAGGAGAATCAAGGGCAGGAAGAAAGGACGAAACGAAGGAAGCAATAATGAATGTGATAATGGGTGGATGCAAGGGGTGGAATTGAGGGAAGGAGGGAAGGAGGGAAGAAGAAAGAGAGAGAGAGAGAGAGAGAAAGAGAGAGAAAGAGAGAGAGAGAGAGAGGAGAAAGGAAAGGAGGAATGAAAGAGGGACGAAAATATATTTTCCGTTGGTATGCAGAGTATGTTAAGCAGTTATTCACTTCATTGTTTTGTTGGGTCTGCAAGCCAACCTACCATATATCTGTCTCAATCTGTTCTATTCTTAATATAAAGGGTAAATAATTTAAGTTTGTTTGAACGAAGTGAATCAGAACGTAACGAAGGAAGTAATGAGGGAAGGGAGGAACAAAGAAAGGATGGATTGACGGATGGGAGGGAGGGAGGAAGGGAGGGAGGGAGGGCGAAACAAGGAAAGAAAGAAGAACAAAAAGAAGGAAGGACGGAAATAAGGAAAGAGAACAGTTTTGACATTAAGAACGAAATTTGTAATYAAGGTGTTTCAACACGGTACCTTGTGTTTTCCAAACATTGTATAATATTTAAATCCCCTGTCTTTGTTACTATAAGACAACATGTACGTCTTAACCCAGTAGTTAGAATGCATYCTTCCTTGTGTAGCAATACCAGTAACTCGAGCCATCTTTCCAATATCAATCTGTAGCCATTGGTGATGATTCCTGTGTGGTGTGTACCAGCCTCCAAGGAATCCACTGCGAGGGTAGTCGTTAAGACGGGCGCGGTCACCATTGGATTTGTAATAGCTGTCGTGGTTGGATGAGCGKAGGGCACCAGATGGGATACGGTAGTCTTCCATTCCAAGGGGCATGTATCGGSATGCTTAGAAAAGACACACAATGGTCGTAATTTATATATATTTTGCAACCATTATTCCCTGTACGAGTCGCTTCACTGAAGTTCGCTWCACACACACTATCACTACATTTTTTATTTCTTTTATAAAATATAAATTACAATAACCTTCCCTCAGATAAGAATTTCGCAACGGAAAAGGCGCGCGCGCTCATAAAGCACGCGCTCCAAACCAATCAGAACGCGACATTCATAACAGTTATTTTTATAATACACCATACAACACCCAACACCCAATACCCAACACCACAAACTCACATGTTTAGTTTTAGGGTCGTAAGTTAGATAACTCACTGGGTTAATACGCCACCCTCTTTAAATAAAGTTTATTGATTTTGCGAAGAAAGAAAAAACTATGCCCGTGTTGTATGGTGTGTACGTGGAGATTAAAAYTGCATTGATAGGGGCTATGCATATTTGGTTTCGTTAAGCTTTGGTATGAAAAACTATTGGGGGTATGTCATGGAAAAAAGCTAAACGCTTTATTTAGAAAAGATGATGTGATAATGTGAAAATCTGTGAAACCCAGCAATAAAAAATACACGGAACTGGAACTCACCAATATGGCATCCATAGAACTCAACTCTCATACTGATATGTCTATACCAGCTGTAAGGTAAGACCCGGATGTAGCGAGCTCTGATGTGGGGGAAGAATTTACGTGACACTACAGAATTGCTGTCTCTGTTTCCATAGAAATACTGAGAAAATAAAGAGAAAGTGAATAAAATTATTACAAATATAATAACATTTGAAAGACTGGAATTTTTTTGTGAAAAACCGAGAACGTTTCTGACGGCCCGTTATAAGGGGACTTCAAAGAATTGAAAAAATGGACGACAGCGACAGCAACCGGAAGCGTAAATAAGTGTAATGATAATTTTTTAAGGGTTTTACTTCTTTAAACTATGATTTCTCTGTGGATGAGTAGACTTTACTGACAATGTTTTAAATAAGATCTCCAATGATCAGAACGGTTGACGTCGCCGTCGTAGATTTTTWWAAATCTTAAGTCCCTTATTTTGTTTCTGAGATTGAAAGTGTCTTAGAAATAGACTTCATTGGGGAAATAAAACTAAGAAATAWTCATTTTCATTGTCGCCCGATTCTCGAGTTTTTCTTACAGTCTCTCTTAAAAMTTTGTTATACCTTGAGATTATTCCTTTCTTTGTAATAGACAAAATGCACAGCATCCACACTGTGTTGGATGAGGTAACGAGTCACCCATTGTCTGGCTTCCTGTCGTCCTTGGGTGGAGATCATCATGACCTTAGTCGGTCTTCCAAAGTCAACCTACAAACACATACATAGTGTTAGTATTAAAATAAGGTTGTCTTGGGGATTGACCCAAGAATTAGGTTACTGA